ACTTCAATTTTTTATGTACAGATATTATACTAAATACATGCATTCATTTTCATGGCTGACTTAGGTTTCTCTATGTCACCTTCTTAAGTGTTTAGCAGTTGTATGTGTATGTATCTTCATTATATGTGTTAACATGGTTATGATAATGAACTATCATAACCTGGGGGCTTTCTTTAGTAAGTAGTGGGGGTGTCCAGCCAAGTGTGCCTAGAAATATTGTATTTATATACTGATATATTTTGTAGTGCCAATACTTGAGTTGCCCTACTCCAGAGATAAGTTGAGCGTATATTGGCCACGGGGAATCCCTTAGACCAATACGAGCCAAACGACTCAACATAATTATCTCTGAGTGCTGTTGGTTCTGAAGGAGGAATCCTTACATTAGGCACGCGACAGGAGTGATATGTGACAGAACAACATATCACCAAAAATCTGTGGTCTCGTCGTGGGATTGTTTTTGTACACTGTTCAATCTTAAATTTGCTGGTGATCTTGGCCAGGAGTTGTTCAGTGTTTGTTTTTTGTTAACACAGTTGTGACCATTCTGGGTCAGTTCTTAGAGTATACTCCTAGGAGTGATTTGTAATCATTGTGGTGTTTTGTGGTGTTCAAGTACATTGGGTTAGGTACAACCTTGGTTGGTGGTGATAATTTAATCTATTGTTGATTATATTTACATTGTTGGTGACAATATATATTGTTGTGGACTGTTAGATTGACAAGACAGCATGTCGCAGTCAAAAATTTCCATACAGGAATTGAAGGACATGGCTGTCCAGATGGGATTGGAGGGTAAAGAAATGACCGAGTGGATTAAAACCACGGAACGTGAGATGAGGATGGAAGCCCGTGAGGCTGAAAGACTCCGAATAGAATCTGAGAGGGTGCAAGAAACCGAACGGCTCAGAATAGAATCTGAGAGGATTCAAGAAACTGAGCGACTCAGAATGGAATCTGAGAGGCTCCGACTTGAGTCTGAGAGGGAGGCTGAAAGACTCCGAATTGAGTCTGAGAGGGAGTCAGAAAGAATGAAGTTGGAACAGGAGGTGAGGTTAAGAGAATTGGAACTTCAGGCACAGAGAGAGGGTAATAGACCCAGATCTCCAACACCTGATATTGATGGTGCATCAACGCACAGTAGCTCAGCTCAAGCGATGAACTTTCCTATGCCAGTCTTCGACCCGAAGGCTGAAAATATTGAACAGTACCTAGACCGATTTGGTAAATTGGCATCTTTGTACAACTTGGAAAGGAATATGTACACGCTGAAGTTGGCTCAAGGTTTGAGGGGTGAGGCATACGAGATTTATCAACGGATGCCCACCGGTACTGAGACTGATTATGATGCATTGTGTCAGGCTTTGCTGAAACGTTTCGAACTTAATGCTGCGACATACAGACAGAAGTTCAGAAATGAGAGAAAGATGACAGGGGAGAACTATCCTCAGTTCGCCAGTCGCCTTCAGGGATATTTGACAAGGTGGAGGGAAATGTCTGGATACTCCTCTTCTTTTGAAGATTTACAGGAGATGATCCTAACGGAACAACTCCGAGAGACATTACCTCGCCCTATGCAAACCTTCCTGACGGAGAATGGTGCTGACAGACTGAGTGAGATGTTGATGTATGCTGAGAGGTATGAGATGGCACATAAAGAAGTGTGTATAGGTGGGAAACCCAAGGCCCAGGGCCAAGGGAAAAATAATGGTAATGGTCATAAAACCCATCCAAATGAATCCCCTAAAAAGAATTCATCCCAAGCACAACCCCAGAACCCCTCAAAAGTTCAGGGAACACAACATAGACAACCCTTTAATGGCCCTAAAAAGCCTTACTGCCATATTTGTAAGAATAATAACCACTGGACTAAGGAATGTAAATCCAAACAGTCAGGGAATTTACAAGTATCAGCTTTGTTGTCTACTGTAGTACCTTCTACCCAGGAACAATTGTACAATGGTTCCAATAGGCCTCCTGTGGTAGAGAGGGTCTGGGCTAATGGATATTCTTTAAATTGTCTGTATGATAGTGGTTTGTCATACGGCTGTGTGGTGAGGCCAGAGTTTGTAAAACCTGATCAGTATACTGGCAGATTCATAGAGCTCCAATGTGCCACATTGGATGCTAAACCTTTAAACTTGCCTATTGCTAAGATTAAGGTCCGTTCAAAGTATGTCTCGGGGGTAATTGAGGCTGCAGTGCTCGAACACTGTACCTTTGATTTAATTCTTGGCGCTACTTATGTATTTTTAGCAGAGCCGAAGAAACCTTCAGAGTATCTTGCTGCGGTGACCACCCGAGCACAACATAAAAGTGCCTTAGAGGATTCTCCTCATGTAAATCCTCTTCCTGAGGAAATTAAGGTGGCCCAAAGTAGTGACCCAACCCTTAAGGCCTGTTTTAAAAAGTTAACTGCAAGTCACAAACCCCCTTTGAAGAAAGAATTCTTCATGAAAGGTAAGTTGCTGTACAGATGGGCAAGTGACAAGTATACAGAGCACAGTCAACTTGTAGTACCCAAAACATATAGACAGCAGATTCTCCAGATGGGGCACACTATAGCCTATAGTGCCCATATGGGAATTCATGCAACGACACAACGCATTGCCTGTCATTACTTTTGGCCAGGTATGTCAGCAGATATCATGCGTTATGTCAAATCCTGTCCGGAGTGCCAGAAGGTAGCTCCCAAAGGCAGGAATGCACCAGTCGGACTGGGGGAAACCCCTGTCACCTCCACACCTTTTGAAAGGGTGGCGGTCGATTTGGTTGGACTACTTCCTCTCACAAAGAAGAAGAATGCTTACATATTGACCTTGGTCGACTGTTGTTCAGGGTATCCGGAGGCTGTTGCACTTCGGAGGATTGACAGTAAGACTGTGGCAGAGGCATTGATGAGCATTTTCACAAGAGTGGGATTCCCTTCGCAGATACTGACAGACAATGGATCTCAGTTTAAAGGGAAACTAATGGAGGAAGTGTTTCAGATAATCAAGTCTCAACACATTTGCACCAGTCCATACCGACCCCAAGCGAACGGCCAGAATGAGCGGTTCAATGGAACGTTGGTATTGCTTCTGAGAAGATTAACCCAGGAAAAGCCAGAGAGGTGGGACGAGTATCTGTCTGCAGCACTATTCGCTACCGGGAAGTACCCAATGCCTCTACTGGATTTCCACCTGCGACCTTGGTGTTCGGAAGACACATTTCTGGACCCTTGGCCATTCTCAGGAAGACATGGACAGACGAAGGGGCAGATGATTCCTTGAAAACCATATCACAGTATGTGCAGGAACTCAAGGAAAGGTTAAAGCTAGGGTGGGACCTGGCTAAAGAGAACTTGATTCGTGCACGTAAGAGGTACGCTGCACATTTCAACCGGAAGACGAAGGAACGATGTCTTGAGGTTGGAGATAGGGTTCTTTTGCTGCTACCATCAGGGAAGTCTAAGTTAGAGTTAGCTTGGGGAGGCCCTTATATGGTGGTGGAGAAGATATCCAGGATCCATTATAAGATCAACATTAAAGGTAAGTCAAAGGTCTATCACATTAATCTCCTCCGGAAATACAACCAGAGAGAGGTAAGTGACACACCGACCCTCTTGACACTTTCTGTAGCTATGGAGGTGGAAGGTGGAGAAGCCACAGCTGTGGAATATCCTCTTCACCCCAGGGAGACCTATAAAGATGTAGAGGTTAACCCAACTCTCTCTGTCTCTCAGAAACAAGCTATAGAACAACTCTTGTCAGAGTATAACTCTGTCCTGAGAGTTAAGCCAGGGCAAACTTCATTATTGGAGTATGATACGACAGGATTCAGGCTTTTGAATGCAAATGTTACACACGCATTTTACGAAATAGTTATTTAGAGCACAAAACTAACAAATATGTTGGAGAGAAAATATACTAATTTGCAGGACATTAGGAATGTTGTCCCTATAGGGGACGCAATTTTGAGTTATTATGAAACCCCACTCTGGCTTTTGCCGGGGATCCTAAATATGGCCTGTGACTGAACAGGGTTTCCGGGACCTCCCCATCAGCACGGTGGCACTTTGTGTCACCAGGTGTTTATCGCTTGTGTAATGTCCTGGTGGGGTACAACTTACCTACCTACCTACATCAGGAGCCTCCTTTGGCAGTGATGAAACATCACAAGCTAGTTTGGTTTGGCGCTAGGTACGACATGATTCTATTGCAAAAATTGAACTTCAAGGTACATTGAGGGGTACTCGAAGAAGAGGAGGACAAAGACAAATATGGAATTAAAACATCAAGAAAGGGACAGGACTAAGTTATCACACACTTATTTGTCAAGCGAAAGACAGAAAAAGATGGTGGGTATAATGTAAAATAAAATTACTTTCAATATTATAAATAGGTGCAAGGTGAAACTACAAATTTTAATTTCCGACTGTAGCATTGCCAAAAAGAAAATTTTCAATATCAATATTTAAAATGTCTCCCACTTAAAAATGAAACTGAACAGTGATGAATTGATGAATAAAATAGGACAAATGCAAACTCATCATCATCACCATCATCCCATAACACTGTGTGTCGTGGGGTCACCAGATTCTGTTGACTGATCAGCTCTCTACACCTTTGGTAATCAGATGATAGACTTTATGACTGCATCCCTGAGGCCTGTCTAGTCAGTCATCAGATTCTGTAACCAGGTCTTTCTTGGTCTGCATCTTCCCCTCTACTGAGCCCTGCAGTACTGTTTTTGAGAGGCCTTTAGATTTTATTACATGTCCATACCATTTCAATTTTCACCTTTTCAGTGTAGTTAAAAGAGGTTCATAGTTGCCAATGTGCTGTATAATTGCGAACCTTTACTTCCCAGAACCACATCTGGTACCCATTTTAGACCGGGCCAACCTGGCAGCCAAATTAATCTCAACTAGGGTTTTAATCCAAGACCTCTCACAACGGCAAGCAAGTGTCTAGCCACTGTGTTACTGTAGCTCATATGCCAGAATATAAATACATAAATCAATAAAACGATGGCACTAAGACAACACTTGTTCCCCCATCGGGCTCATTATTTCTCAGTAGACAATGCCAGTCTGGAACATCTTTCAATCCAGTCTCAGTGCTTTGATGTACTTGCTTGAACACTTTGAGCTCATCCACCTTAGTATCTGGCACTCCGGACAATGAAAGTTTGGTAGCTCTTGGTGTTCTCTTGATGCCAGCTTCAGCTCTTCCTGGGCAGCGGGATGATTTGAGGTGAGCCCTCAACCCTTCTCTGTAGATATATGTCCGGCCGCACATGTCACAAGCGTAAGACCTCTTTCCCATGTGTCCTAAGCGATGCTCCAACAGGGAAGAACTGTAATTGAAGCCTTTGCCGCAAATCTCACACACACAAGAAAACTTATCACTGTGCTTTCTCTTATGTTTACTCAACTCTCCCAAAGATCGTGTGCGCTTGCCACAAATTTCACACTCGTATGGCTGTTCTCCTGTATGGCAACGCCTGTGACGTACTAAAGTGGCTTTCTGAGCGTAAGTTTTTCCACATAACTCACAGGTGAACCTCTTTTCCCCAGAATGAGTCCTCAGATGACACTGCAATCTACCCTGCCTGACAAAATCTTTCCCACAAATCTTGCACATATGAGCCGGTTCTTCCGTATGCTTTTCTACATGCTTAGCTAATGATTCTTGCCTTATGAAAACAAGGCCACAAATGCCACATTTATTCTGCGGTTGCAAATGGTTCTTCAGATGTCCATCCAGCCTGAAAAGGTTATTGTAAGGTTTCTGACACAAATCACATAAAAACTTTCCATTAATCACATGTTTTTCACTGTGCTGTTTATAGTCTAACATATTGGGAAGTTCCTCCCCACAGTGCCAGCATAAAAAGCTCTGTTTATGATTATAACGTAAGTGTTTATTCACGTGCCATTTCTTAGGAAACACCTTCCTACAAATTGTACACTCAAAGTTTCTAACATCATCCTCCAACTTAATTCTCACAGGTCTCCGGCGTGCACGGCGCATCTTCTGTTCTACAGTGTGTGCATTTGTATAATGCACCAAGTACTTTTCTGCATCTGCATATGTTGCTTTGCAAACTTTGCACACAAATTCAGAGCAACCTTTATGCTTTGTTGAAAGATGTTTCTTGAAGCAATTCCGACCAGCAAAAACCCTGTCACACTGGCAACATTGAAACTGCTTCAAATTAAGATTTTCCCTGGCTACAATAGTTGAAGTCAGTGGTGCTGACATCTTGTTGATATCTTCACCCATTTTACTAGTAGGAGCTGCAGCAGCTTCACTATTCCAACCACCCTTCTCAAGGCTTGTGACTGCCAACCTTTTCTCTCTCTTTCGAAAGCACACATCTTTAATTTTCCAAGATTTATTCAATTTTCTGTTTCGTCCCACATTCCACTTGTTTAGAACTCCTGTTAACTTACTGCCAAAATGTTTCTTATCTGCTGAAGAGGTGTTATTTTTTTCTGGATGAAGAAGAGAAGAATCTGTACTAACAGAATGTGAATTAAGTTCCACTGATGTAGACAAATCTGCATCCTGTGAACTGCTGCTTCCTGACTGATCAAACATCTCAAGGCCTACATCACTGGTAAGAGTTTCAAACCTAACAGGATTATCATCCCTACAGCTGCCATGTGATTTCTCACTGCCGTTATTATAATCTACCTTATTATAACAACTCCTTTCAGCATTTATAAAACTCTCATCCTGAGATTCAGAGTTCGGTGAACTACCACCTACATTTGTTCCTGTGCCATCTTTTAAATTTACGAATTCACAAATTTCTGCCTGTTTCTGCAAAACAACAGAACTGTCATCCAAGTTGTTGGACAGGTCCTGCTTCATGCTGAAATAGCGGAACCTTTCAAACAATAGAATAAAATATGGAAGGCAAACCTGCTCAACAATGTGTAAAACCTTTGTTAACTTCTCCAGATTTAAATTATACACTTTCAGGGATGAGCATATAGAATTAACATGATGGCTGCCTGCAAAAAGTAACAACGATGATGAATCTCCAACTAAAGCTCCAGGTAATTCTGTGCTCTGATACAACTGACATTTTTTATAGAAACTATCCCATGTCTGCCATAAGGTGCCATCCTTATTAATTTCTTGGGGAAGATGTAAAATGAATTCCATTATATAGAATTATCTTCCACAAACTATAGTTTCTATTAACTGTTACTTGTATTCAAGTACAACACTGCTCAGATTCCAACATCAAATTTCACTTCAGTATATTTGGATGAGTCTTGTGTGATGATTCCACCAAGATTTCTGGAATGAAACATTAAATAAAATTGACATGCTGACAGTACGAGTGTACGGGTATATTTTTACAGTGAACTCCAAATAAAAACTCTGGTAACAACAAAGCAACTTTACCACCACTAAATAATAATGATTTTTCAGGGTGGACTCCATGGGTGTGACCTTAGTGAGAACTGGGACATGTCCACGTGTCGGCGAGCCAGGTTTGGCAGCACCTTAAAGGGAAGAGATATAAACTGGACGAACTGAAATGGTCAAGCACCATAGGTCATGTCATGTGTTCGTTCAACTCTTTTAGGCCAAGCAACGCAGTGAGTTTTAACGGAGTAGTTCCGATTTGCACAAACAACACAATCTACGCCAACTGTGTGTCCCACACACATTAATTCGCCTACTGTTCTGTACTAGTTTTTAATGTCTGAAACTATATTTAGAATATCAGAGATGTTACTCTAAATTTGTGTTTCTCTACAAGTCTTTGTGTACATATTTAGGTGCACAATCTCCAAATTTATTGCCAGTGTAATTTTTCAGACAGTGAATATTTTTATTTTTAATCTCATGAACAAACTTTATTTTCACAAATCGGGCACAAGGATGATTACCATTATTTGACCTATATTTGTTAAGTCTACAACCAGTTTCGCATTTTTTTAATGCCTTATTATAATTTTCAGTTGACAATATACCAGTCCGAAAAATGTTTCTCTGATCACTAAAAAAAATCCTATCGTGAAATTCACCAAATGTGGCTACACTGCCATGTAACATTTAGTAATTAAGTTTAAATGCCTACTTCTGCTGTATGATTTACACTTTTTAAAAATCTACAACCACTATAGCCTTTTTTAATGCATCTATAATTATCAGTTGATGATGTCTTCTAAAATTTTTCTATACCATCACTACCAAGTCCAGATCGTGAATTTCACCAAACGTGGCCACACTGACTAGCAATATTTGGTGATTAAGGTCAAATGCATACTAATCTACTAACATTATAACAAGTAACAAATGAACTACAAGCAAATAGTATTTACACAAAAAGTAGCTAATTCACAGGTGTGTATAGTAGCTCAGTAAAAATGTATACCTATGTTTGAACACGATCACTTTTGCACAGTGTGTAAATTGTAATTACTATAAGTCAGACAGCGTCCAAAATACTGGACATACTGTTATATTAAAATATTCACAAACAGGCCAAAACTTTACAGTAAAGGCAGAACTCACAGTGGCTAAGTTGGTAAGCCATTCAACTCATAGTCTGAAAGTTACAGGCTCTGGGAATTGTTACTACAGCTATGGAGGTTGGGCTTTGTGCTTCATTCTGGACAGGTGGATAGCCATTGTGCAAAGAGAAATAGCGCCATATGATTTTTTTTTTAACCTTAAACCAGTTTAAACTATTAAGTCATAAAGTGATTACTGAAAAAAGTGAGTGGACCGTTATCTTTATATGTAATTTAGGTCATTTCACCTTGTGGCACATTTTTGTGATTTTATGTCCCACCTCGTCATCCTGCCTAATATAGTATACATCTTGCGAGGCTCATTAGTAGACAACAATAAATAAATGTATACAGTGTTTACTTAACTCTATGAGGTCCGAGCAACGCTGTGAGTGTTGACTGAGAAGTCAGATTTGCCCAAACAACACTGTCAGCGTTGATTGTGTGTCCCATAATACTTCTTCACACATGGCTCCATATTCATTTCAAATATTCAGAACCACCATTAAAGTTTTCCGGGAAGGTAACTAATATTTTTCTCTGAATAAAAGTCTGTGTTCCAACACACGCAGGCAGACTGATCAGATTCATTGCTAGCGTCATTTTCAATATAGCATTTTCTAAGCTTGTGCTCGAGTGCGATGGACACCAATGTTCCAACCACAAGTACAGGTAGTAAAATGCATCTTTCTGTGGCCAAAGCTTTGAAATTGTTTCAGTTGTATGTTTTTAATTCTGATAATGATAATTTAGATTTTTCAGAAAGTGATTTGGTTGGTGAAATTACGCCAAGAGTAGCTGAGCGGTCAGCTGTTAGGGAATCTAGTTCTAGCAGTTCTGATGAGTCTGACAGAGAGAATGTTCCACCGCTACTATTTTTAGGGTGTAAGAGAAAGAAAGTGCTTCAAACAAATAGAAAGACAGTACCATACTATGGATAAACTGCATTTAAATCATTGCAGCTACAGTCTGTAAATAACTGCAAAGTAAATATTGTGTGTGTAATGGTTCACTTTTCTTCAATTTTTTTTCTTTGAAATTTTGCTCAGCACTCTTTGAGAACTTAGAACCTCTGAGTACTAAACTAACCCACAAACTTATAACTTTGGAATTTGTTTAGAAACTAAACAAACTTTAAAGTGTTATTCTCAAATTTGGATATTCACTCCTCTTGAGGCTGAAAACCATGGTAAGTGAAGCATTGTTTTGTAAAATGTTGTTGCGGTGAAATTAACACCTGCTGAATTCTTCTTTTCTGGAATGGAACAAAGCCAGAAAGAAAACTGCTGATAGAGACGTCTGGCTATCTCTCTGGCTAAACCCCTACACCTCAAGGTAGAAAAGGAGCGACTAAGTAAGTAGGTAATTAACTCTTTGAGTCCCAGGGAACGTATCATACGTTCATAGGTTCGTACCTAGAAGCCCAATGAACGCATGATGCGTCGATTTTAGTCTATTTTTACTACCCATTGGGCCTGTGATGCTAAACCCCCTGAGACTCAAAGAGTTAAGCATTTGTTAACTATAACAGCATTTAACATCTACTCAGATTCACAATGTACATTCATCTTTCTTTTAAAAAATAAATACTTCTGTAGGGGTTAGAAGTATATCACATTCTCTGTTGCCTTCTTTTTGCACACCAACCCCTCGGCCATTTTTGTATAGGAAATTAATGTGAGCCAACTATGTCAAAATTCATTGACCTGAAAGGGTTAAAAATAGTGAGCTGGCAACCATTTTTGTATGTTAATTAGGTCTGTATATTGCATTACCTGTATTTAAGAAATGGGTGCTTTATTAATATCCTACCCCAAGATGACGTCACAGGACATTCCAACATTTTATAGGGTGGTAAGACGGTTTCCCAGCTTTCTGATGCTTTTAATGACCCCAAAACATCTAGAACTGGCCCTAACCCCAACCCACCTACATCAAACGAGAGAGTGCAGCCTAAGTCCCACGACTGCATGCAGCCTATCTACCACCCCCTGAAATATTAGAGTTCCATGAACTGTGGATTTCCCCTGTTTGAGGTAGGATATTAATAAAGCACCAAGAAATACATATACAGTTAGGCCCCGCTGCCCCGATTACAATGATATATAGTGATAAGCTGATTCGTTAAAAAACAAAATAGTTGCTATAAAATGCAAAAATTTCATCTTCATCCATATTTTGTCAGGATCCATTATAAGTTATAACTATAATTCATCTATGGTGGGTATTCACCACTAAAAGGTTAATGATTAACCGTTAATCTGCGACGAGAATTTACTTACAATACATATAGTATAGTCATATACTTATACAGTTACACTTCTTACTATCTTACAGTTACAGGCTTCATTAAGTTATCGTTGGATTGGATATATCAATCTCCATCCAGTTGTGATGGTCCCATAAGTTAAAACCCCAATATATATAAAACTTCACTAGCATCCCTAGTTGTACTGTCGTATTCACTGTTTCAGCTCAGCCGTGTTAGTACTGCTGTTAGTGGTACGAACACTACAGTGCCGCTGCCTAACGTCCATTTTGACCGGAACGGTTTAATGATGGGCGATAGTAATTCTCGAACATTGTGGTTGGTTTGATTGCAGTTTTAGGCCATCACCATCAATTTCCACTTACGCTGTTTAAGTTTAGTTGAGTTGAGTCAAGAATTGACATCACAGCACTCGGGGCATTCCCGTACATGCTCCGTCCTCATCTTCAGCAGCCAGCGCAGAGTTCCAATACTGATGGTACCGTTCACAGTCTGGTTAAATGTCCGTTTTGCTGCCTTTCCTCTGAGTGCAGTGAGCCGGCCAGACCCTCTGGCTACACCCAGGTGCCCCATTCTCTCCAGGCCATAATAATCTTTTTTCTCTACTGATTCCGTTGCTAGTTCTAAAAGACCTTGACCACATCTGCCTTGTGGTGCAGATCCAGCCAATCTCTGCCTGTTCATTACCCACCACACAGGCATAGCCTTGAGAAAAGATCCAAAGTATGCTAACCACCCGTGACCTTACAAGTGAAGCTTGCCGCTCTGCTCGAAGCATGCATGTCTTCACCGTTCTCAGCAGGCTTTCAGAGTCTGTTACAGTAATGACATGTGTATACATCTTGTTTTCTAGCCACCGGAGAGCTGCAGTTACCGCCTCCACCTCCATTCTCATGCTAGATGTGGTTTCATATGCTAGGCTGTCTTGCACTAAAGATTTTCCATTGGCTTTCGCTACCAACCCTCAGGCACTTCTCTTTCCTCTCAACACTGAACCACCTGGATAGATAATCAGATCACCCGTTAAGCGATGCGGAGAGGAACATTTTGCGATCCATTGCTTGATGGGCAACAATGGCCATTGTCATTCCATCTCTATGTAGAAGCTCTTCAATGTCATC